GGTTAGCATTATCAGTATTGGGTAGCAGTTTGATGGTATGCACATATGAGCCCTGACTGACCCCCCGGGGCTGATGGGAGGGGCCAAAAAGGGTTGAATTGACTGGAATTTCAAAAATCTTCTTCTCAAGACCCAGATATGGTAGAATCAAACACTCTTCATAGATGGAAGGGTCTTAAGGTGCTCTACCAAAATTGTGAATTTTATGACCCTGGGGTCTCACGTGTACCCCTGGGGAGGGGGTAAACTTTACTATAGTTTATATAGGGAAATCACATTTTGGACTAACATTTGTTTAATTTCCATTGGAAATAATTCAATTTGGGTTATCATTATCAGTATTTGGTAGCAGTTTGATTGTATGCACATATGAGCCCTGACTGACCCCCGGGGCTGATGGGAGGGGCCAAAAAGGGTCGAATTGACTGAAATTTCAAAACAAAATCTTCTCAAAGACCCAGATATTGTAGAATCAAATACTCTTCATAGATGGAAGGTTCTTAAGGTTTATGACCCTTATAATTGGAGCCATTGGAAAACGCATCATAGAAGTCTGAAAAGATCTTGTTAAATTCAGAGGAGTGCAAATTTCAGTGGGCATTTGAATTTGTGAAATAATGTCATCCACTCCATCAGTGTCACTCAGCAACTCATTCATTAAATTATCCGTTTGCGAGTCGGTCAAAAGATCCATGTTGTCAAGTTGTATGTCTTCAATAGGAGAGCTTCGGTGGACACGTGATGCACTTCTGGCCAATCGCTTGTCGGGAATAATATGAAAAAATAACAATTCTATTTATTGGCAAATTTGGATTTGCCTCGTTTGGTATGGCTAATTTCATCTACATTGTAACACACAAAAAATGAAAGACCATCCTGAAAATGATAAATATGTATGATATTCTCTGTACAAGATAAATGGACAACGTATAACACTTTGATATCCTCGTGCATCGTTTGTTTGGTGTGTTTTACGTCCTATTAACAGCTACTATCATTGAAAGACATGTCAGGGTTTGGGTTGGAGGAAAGCCGGAGTACTCGGAGAAAAACCACAGACCTGCGGACAGTACCTGTCGACTGCCCCATGTTTGCCCCGAACCCACGACCCGGTGCAGTGTTTGTATTCGGTACATCGCGTTCATGTCTGTCACCGTCATCCTGGACATAATGTGAAGTCGAAATACTCTTCTTACACGGATCTACCGTCTGATGCTCAGTCTGTTTCAGAAGATGCAACATTTAGGATTTCAGGCATCGTTTCACATCCAAAGATTTTCCCCGAAACTGTTCCTGACCACCATGTTGTGCCACCGTCAGTTAAATTCGGACTGATACACACGAGTTCCCCGACAGCGTGACGCGTCGGCCGACCGGTTAAGGAATCTGACCATCTACGATTGATTGATTAATTGATTGATAGGTTTTACGTCCGCTTCACTACCGAGTAGTTCGGTTATCCAGCAGACGAATCCACCATCTACGATCACTAGCCTATTGTGTCGCGGGTTCGAGGCATACATGGGGCATTGGCCATGTATGATAGACGGTCGTTGGTTTATCTCTGGGTATGCCGGTTTTCCTCCAACACGAAAATCTGACACGTCCTTAAATGACCATACTTGAAGCTATTAATATTACGTTTAACACAAACAAACCAAACCATTTGTTTTATGTTTGACTATTGTTTCAAGGCTAGTCAAGATAAAACTTCCGGGTGTCCTACATTTATAGAATAGTCCGGAGCAAACGTATACAATATGGTTACATTACCCATGTATCATCGATGAAACTATCAAAACAACTTATAGATTAACGTCAAAAGTCCTTGTCAATATAACTGAAAATAGGTCATCATTGAGGAAGTGACTGAATAACAAGGGAATATGTTTCATGTTATAAATGTTCAGTACATTCTTCCTGCAGTGGAGTGGTTGTCTGTTTCGTATAAAGTTCATAAAATATACATATTCCTGCATAGTGTTTTTCACAATCCACAATAAGGGACTTAAGTTTGTCTGCAATGCCAATCTGTTCTCTCGTTGTATCAAGATGAATTTGTCCATGAATACCACGTATTCGTTAGAAGAAGAAGATTACGAGGAGTTTAAGAAAAATGGGATTCCTATCACGGCTTATCTGATAATTCTGTGTATCCTTGGGACGGTTGGAGATACACACGTGTTTCTGGTGTATTTGCTTAAATATAAAGCAAGCACATATAAAAACTTTATACTATGTTTAGCTGTCGTGGATTTCCTCGGATGTACATTCTGTATCCCAGCATCACTGTTTATCATCAGACATTGGAACATAGTGCAATCTCTACCGCTCTGTAAGGTGTACCGTGCCTTAACGAACTTCACAGTCTCATGCGCTTTGTTGGTTCTGGACTGCATAGCTGTGGAACGTTATCGGAAGGTTTGCCAAGCCACTCGTGTCAGATTTACGATAAGGACAACACGTATATTGTATGCTGTAAACTTTATTTTCGTATTTGTCATGATTGCTATTCCTGGGATCATCATTTACGGCATCAACCGGACGACAACCAAAGCACATGCGTTGCTAGGTTACGAATGTGCGGTGTTAGACCATTTCAAAAGTTCTGCACTGGCGAAAATACCCATGGGATCTTTATTCATCATGTTCGTTCTTTATTTAATAGTTACAACTGTATTGTACACTATGATCGGTAGACAGATTTTTGTTTATCAGAAAAAACACAGTAAAACAGTTTCATTACC